CCAGCCGGGCCTGCTGCCGCAGGAGGGTTTGGAAGCTACTGGCCTGGGGGAGAGGGAGAGAGCAGAGCAGAGCAGAGCAGAGCGTTGGCCCCGCGGGGGCACGGCAGGGCGGGGGGCACAGCGTGGCACGGGGGGCACAGCGGGATGGGGGGCGGCCCCAGCGGGGGGGGGTCAGTGCGCTGGGTGGGGGTGCCAGGTCTGCCGGGTGGGTGCCCTCCCAGGGGGTCCCGTGGCCCCAGGGGGCTGTGGGGGCCTCCCCCATCCCTGGGGGTCCCTCGTGGGGACCCTCCAGCAGGCACAGCTGGCTCGGTGTCCCTGAGGGGGACACTGATGTCCCCTACTTGGGGACGCTCCTGCTGCCACCCTCAGCGTGCTGAGCCCCTCAAAGCATGGGGGGACATGTCCCCAACCTGTCCAGGGGGACACTGATGTCCCCTACCTGGGGACACTCTCCCTGCCACCCCCAGTACACTGAGCTCCCCAAAAGACTGAGGGACGTGTCCCCAACCTGTCTAGGGGGATACAGATGTCACCAACCTGGGGACATTGCCACCCCCAGCACACAGAGCCACCCAAAATGTGGGGGGACATGTCCCCAACCTGTCCAGGGGGACACTGATGTCCCCTACCTGGGGACACTCTCCCTGCCACCCCCAGCACACAGAGCCACCCGAAACACGAGGGGACATGTCCCTAACTTGTCCAGGGGACACTGATGTCCCCTACTTGGGGACTCTGCCAGTCCCCAGCACACCAAACCCTCTGACACATGGGGGGATATGTCCCCAACCTATCCAGGTGTCCCTACTTGGGGACACTCCCTCTGCCACCCCCAGCACGCTGAGCTCCCCAAAACGTGGGGGGACATGTCCCCAACCTGTCCAGGCAGCCATTAATGTCACCTACCTGGGGACACCCTCCCTGCCACCCCCAGCATGCTGAGCTCCCCAAAACAGGGGGACACGTGTCCCCAACCTGCCCAGGGGGCCACCAGTTTGTCCCCAAGACAGAGACTGTCCCAGGTGTCCCTGCCCGAGGTGGGCAGTGCCCGGGGGGCTCTGGGGTGCCTGGATGTGGCTGCAGGTGGGGGGACCCTGGTGGCCTTTCCTTTTTGTGGTCCCCACTGCGGGCCATGATGTCACCCTGTGGTGGCCAAGGGCCACCGTGGCATTGTGGGGGCCTGGTCACCTACTGACAGGGATGGGGGTCTCCCCTCAGAGTGGGGGTCACCTCTTGGCCCTGGTCACCTACTGACAGG